GTAGAGCGCTCATCTAGCTCGTGCAAGGCCCTGGGTTCAGTCCTTAGTACCACATAAATTAAATAAAGATATTGTGTCCAACTACAACTGAAATATAAATATTAAAAAAAACCACAATCCAGCCTCAAGAAGTGGTCTGGATATACRTATAATACTGAGTGTCACCAACCATCTGTGGGCTGTGTGTGGACTCTGTTGCACATAGTAGCCTCCTGAGAGGATAGGTCTGGCACTGGGCACTCCCAGGACCCCTGATGCAGGGGAACTTTTCTCTCAAGCTCTAAGATCCCAYACACAGCACCTGAGATGGGTGTGACCTGCCTGTCAATCAACTTGCAAGACRTCACAAAGCAAGACTCTGTCCTTGAAACCTTATCCCTGCCTTGGAAGTACCGAGTTAAATAAACCACCAGAGTCATTTTATCTTTGATTGTTTAAGAACCTGTATGGACTAGATCTATCAGGGAATTTGCTTTTGTAGATATATTTCTGACTGTTTACGTTTTATTATTTGTTAATTATTTGAGATATTGAGATTTAGGGTGCCTATTTAGGGTGGCTTGGATTCCTCTGGGCAGAAGAACCCCCCAATGAGACACTGGCTGTCTTACACTGGAAAACTGAGGAGCTTTAAAAAAAAATAGGCTCACCAGAGATCAAGGCTCCCCGGAGACACAGCAGACACCTGTCCTCTCCAAATCCAGGGCTCTTGCCCAGGTCCATTCCGGTCCCCATGGTTCTCTCCCTTCACTCTGCAAGCCTACTAAACCTGCTCTCCACTGCCTTCATCTTTCCTTGCAGTMTCTCTGGCTCCTCCAGGAGGGTTTGCTTCCTCTCTGCCTCCATTATCTGCTCCCCAAAGTGATGGCTCCCTGCTCTGCGCTCTTGAAACCACGGAAGGTCAGCCTTGCTCACCCCCAACCGAGACTGTGACCACGCCCACCTTCATTTCCTCTGGTTCTCCCATCAGTATGTTCCTCGGATTCAGCTTTATGGAGCCTTAACCATTACCCGGCACATTTGCGAGCCAGTCTCGACTTTAAGCCCTTAAATCAAGGTATCCTCTTAATCATAATGACCCAAGTGAAAAATCAGGCACCTCCTAACTGTGGAGAGGTTTTAACCCTCACAGCCAACCCTGAAACTGGGGTCTTTTCCCATTTTTCAGGATCAAGTGACCGGTTCAAGATCAGGGCAGATGGCAGGTCAGCTGAATCCAAACCCTCTTTCCATTCCTCCTCAAGAGAAGAGATACCAAGAGGTACTTAAGAGAACAAAGAAGGAAACTCCCCAGTTCGCCTGGGGGGGGGGGGCAGGTCGTCTTCACCCCTCCGCAGGAAAGCAGGGGCCAGCCTGGGTTCAAGACCAGTCGCCACCACTGCCCTGCTGCATGGGCCTGGATCCATGCCCCTGCCCAAACTCTTGTCCTCAGAAAGCGGGTAACAATAGTACCACCACGTGGAGAGTATCTAACAGGAGCAGTCAACTTGTGAAAAGCAAAAGGCTTTGTCAACGTCAGTTTCCACCCGAGTTAGCTTTTCCTTCTTGGTCGAGTCTGGGCTTCACGTGGTGACGGAGGAAAGCCAGGAAAAACCCGGGAAAACCTCCGGAAGCTATTGGAGCTGGAGGGTCTCAGAGGGAGGTGTTGGCTCTGCAGAGCGCGGGTCGCCACCCTCGCGTCCACCCCCGCCRGGGAAGGAGAGAGAGCACGGGGGGCAGCGGCAGCCGGGGAAGCGAGGACCTCAGCCTGGCCCCTCCGAAAGACTGGGCAAAACAGTTTGGTGGGAACAGACATGCCCGCTCCTTTCCCCTGGAGGATGAACCATTCCAAAAAGTGGAAGGAGCAGGTGGAGCGGCCTTCCCGCCCCGCGCCGGAGCCCACCTCTCAGCCCCCAGCCCGGTCCCCGCGCGCGCTGGCGGGAGCGCAGAGACGGCGGCGCGCAGCTGGCGGCCAGTTCCACGGACCCCGGCCAGCCCGGGCCGGGGGGCTCCGCGGTCTGCGAGAAGCCTCACTCCCCGGGACGGCCGCAGCAGGGGACACCTCTTGCACTGACCTTCCGACGCAGCCACCAAAGATGCTGCAAACGCGGCCACCCGACGGAGCAGCACGTGCGCGATCCCAGCACCACCAGCAGCGCCAGCGCCCGCCCGGCGCGGGCCTTTATCCTCTGGCGGCCCCAGCCCGCCCCGCCGCGAGCCAATCCTGGCTCTGCCCCCAGCCCGGGCGCGGCGCCAAGTCACCGGAGGAGGGCGCCGCTCGCCCGGCAAACCCTCCAGCCCGCCGCTCCGGCCCCGATCCCCGCGGCGCGCGTCCGGCGCTCTGGCCCGGGGCTCCCGCTCACACCTGGGAGAGTCTCAGGGACTGCAGGGCCTCGGCAGGGTCCCCACCGGCGTGCACGCGCGTCCTCCCGCGGAGACCCTGCCGGCCCTCGCGTCCGCGCGTGGGCACTGTCTGGTGTGGGCAACTGCGAGAGCTTCACTTGACATCCACAYGCCCCTCCAGAGCCCGAGGGCACGAGCTCCTGCCGCGGTTTTGCGGCTTCCTCCGCAGTTGAGAGCGGGGAGGAAGGCCAGGCGCAGAGGGACCGCTGGAAACACCGGGTGGCCCCCAGGGCCACAAACTAGCCAAGTCAGCGTCACTTGGGAGCGTGCTGGTAATGCAGATTCTCCATCCCCACCCCAGCCCTGCTGAGTCAGAGCTCCTGGACCGTGGAACCCAGCGCCTGCAGCCAGGCAGAGGGACTCCGTAGTGAGAAACGGCTCTGGCGCTGGTTCTCAGACTCCACGCCGATTAGAAATCGCCTGAGGAGTTTTTGAACCTCCCGGTGCCTGAGCTGCTTGCCAAACCAGAGGACTCACTCACSGGAAGGAGCCCAGGGGTAAGTATAAAAGTTCCTCAAGTGGTTCCAACGAATGGTCCAGGTTTCCAACCACTAGGGGCTTTAGTCAAGACCTGGTCCCTGACAAAGCAGCCACTCCCCAACCCACTAAATGGGGAAATCCGCACTTTAACAATATTTACAAGTGWTGTGCCGGCCATTGGAATATGGGGACAGTTTAGGGTCTCTTCCAATATTCCTGACTAGGTGACAAAGATTGATTTCTCAGGGACTGAAAGGCCTATAGTTTCATTTTCTCTCTTCCTATGACAGTCTGATATGAAATTCTCAGTCCTCTCTCCAGGAGAGGCACTTCCTCTGGAATTCAGTCCTCACTGGGTGTCCATAAGAGGTCAGAGGCTCAGGTCTGAGGGGGCCTGTCCTGCCCAGGGACTTTGCTGTGACAGACTGGTTCTCCAGCCTTCCCTACAAGTCTAGGTCTGACCCCATATCCTTTGGCTTATGTCAACAAAGTATAGATTTTCTCCTCATTCCCCTGGGTCAAGGTTTTGGCTTTATCACTAACCCAAATAATAAAAGATAAAATAAATATGCTGTAGTCCATGTTGATGTAAAGAACTAAATGATGAATAAATGAAAAGGAACAACTCGGCATTAACAAGGATGGTGGAATGGGATGGTCATCCTTATACAAAATACATGTGTGAAGATTTGAATTTGTGCCAACATACCTTTTATACAAACAGAGATGAAAAATTGTGGTATATATGTGTATTAATTGTAATGCAAAAAAAAGAGCACATGTATAATGGTATAAGTTGGCATGAACATGTATGAAGATTTGAATTTGGGGGCCAACATACTTTATATACAAAAAGAGATACAAAAATTGTGCTCTATATGTGTAATAAGGATTATAATGCCAAAAAAAATAATAATAAAAGAAAAGGAACAACTCTTTTTTGCAGAAAAATTTCAGTGAATAAATGCAGGAGGCATGATCCGTAGACATTTTAACTGTGGGTGAGAGTTTAGGGAGAAGTAGGATATTTAAGCATCTCTCCCAAGATATATGTTTATCGATTACAAGGGAAAACTAGTTTCTAACAGTTTTCTTTACCAATAAACCAGCCTCCAGCATTTTGTTACAGCAACAGAAAGTGCCACTTTCACCACCTTCACTGTGACCAAGTTTTACATCTTGGAAATAAACCATGATGACATTGCACACTGATCCTGCTTTGATCAGGATTGGATCCTCGTTGAAGATTAAACACCAAAGAAACAGGGAGGCAAGAAAACAAGTTTTATTTAAGGGAGAGAAGAGAGAGAGACCTCTGGAGAGGAGAGGGCCCAAAGCTAGTGCCCATGGGAGTGGGGGTGTCTTGCCCCTTTATAGATTTTAGGTTTCCTTTTTTTCTCATGCCTTCATGACCAAAAACAGAAACAGAGCCATCCAGGGGGTGATTGCTTATGCTGGAAAGTGGGACATTCCCCTTCCCCCTCCCCTGGAGGCTTTTAGCCACTGGTAGATAGGGAAGTGGTGTCTACCCATTTCCTTTTCTTTGATAATCAGCTACCTGTCCTTTGCCAGGTCTCAGTATCCCAGGATCTGATGTCCTGACATCACTGTGGTTTTCTTCTGCCCAACACATAAGCCCAATCTTAGGTGAGAGTTTAGGGAGAAGCTGGATGTTTAAGGGAAAACATCCCACAGTCCAAATGAGGGAGCATTCTACAAGGTAAGTAATCAGTACTCTTCAAAAGTCTCAAGGTCCTGGGGGCTGGGTCTGTAGCTCAGTGGTAGAGCTGCTTGCCTAGCAAGTACAAGGTCCTGGGTTCAAAGATGAGGAACTTATAGCTTCAAGAACACTGAGGCATAATGACTTAACTGTAGAGTGGAATCCCAGGTTGGATCCTAGGACAGAAACAAGAGCGTTAGTGGAAAAAGTGGCGAAACCTGAATGAAGTTTGTAGTTCACAGCAGTGTCTCAATGATACCTAAGTTTTAAGAACTGTACTGCTGTGGGGCTGGGGATGTGGCTCAAGTGGTAATGTGCTCACCTAGCATGCATGAGGCACTGGGTTCGATTCTCAGCACCACATTAAAAATAAAATAAAGATATTGTATCCACCTAAAAAAACTAAAAAAAAACCAAAAATAAATAAAAATAATAATAATAAAGCACTGTACTGCTGTGGTATTTAGATGTTCCTATCAGGGGAATGGGTGGGGGCATAAGGGGATGCTCGGTCCTTCTGTTGTTGCTTTGCTGTGCTGGGGATACACAAAGCTAGGGCCCTGAACACGCTAGGCAGGTGCACTACACTGAGCCCCTCCTCCAGCCCCTCTCTCAGTCCTATTTTTGCAATCCCTTTATAAATCTAAAACAAAAACTTGATCTTAAAATAAAATGATGTTAAAATAAAAACTTGAAAAATATATTACTAAGAAAAATGCATGCAGTAAAATTTTGTTAATAAAAATAACAAAATCTTCCTAACAAAATGTAAATATGTAAATGTTACTTGAGAAAATAGACTTTGGAGAAATAACAAGCACCAAAGGAGATTCACAATGGGAAAAATTGAATTTGTTTTCTAGAAAGGACTTCATTTCCCGTCTTTCATTTTTTACTTTACTGAAATTTATTTGGAACTATTTGCTTTCCATTAAATTTTCTAACAAAGATTTGATTCCTTTCCCAATTGTTTGACTCATTTCATACAATTTCTGAAATAAGCCAATCCCCCATGAACACTGAGGGATGACTATAATTAAGACGAAGTCATTAGGGTAGGACCTAATAGAGTAAGACTGAAGAATAGAAACATTTGGACACAGAAACACCCAGTGGCTCTTCCCACATGAAAATAGCATTGTTCAGAACAATGCTTCTGCAAACTGAGGAGTACCAAAGATAGAGCCAGCAAGTCATCAGAAGCTGGACAGAAGCATTGTCTTGAGTACTGTGGCTTCACTGTAAATCTTGAAGTTGAGTAGGTATAGTCCTGACTTAGTTCTTCATTATTATATTGGCTATAATGGATTTAACTTATTATAAATGTTAGAATGTTTATCAATATCCACAAAATAACTTGAGATTCGTTATTTTTTGCTGTTGAGTCTGAATCAATTTGGGAAAATCTGATATCTTACCAGTATTCACTCTTCCTATCCAAGAACATAGACTATCTCCTCATTTATGTAGTTCCTTGATTTCTTTCAGGTTTTTTTAGTTTCCTTCATGAATATTTTGTACACATCTTATTAGATTTATGCTAAAATATTTTATTTGGGGAGTTGTAATGTAAATGATATTGCTGTTAACTTTAAATTTCAATTGTTCATTGCTGGTATATTACCATTTTTTTGTGTATTAACCTTGTGTCCTTGTAACCCTGCTCTAATTGCTTAGTAGTTCCAGTTGTTGTTGATTCTTTCAGACTTTCTACAGAGGCAATCCAATAATCTGTGAACAAAAACAACTTTACTTCTTCCTTCCAATCTGTATACGTTTTACTTTCTGATCTTGATGCTGAAAGGAGTGACAAGAAAGGACAAGTTTGCCTTGTTCCTGATTAGTAGACAAGTTCCTAATTGCCATTAAGTAGCATAGTTTTATGATATTGTTCATCATGTTGAGAAGTTCCACTCTAAGTTTACTGACAGTTTTTATCGTGAAGGGTTGTTGGACTTTATAGAATGTTTTCTTCACTCATTGATACCGTCATATGATTTTCCTTCCTAAGTCTGTTGATATGATGGATTACATTATTAATTTTCAAATATCAAACTTGTATATTGCATATTGAGGTATCTATTTGTTCCCACTCCACCACTCCCTATCTTTTGATTCAAAATTTTAGTCCATTTATATTTAAAGTAATTGCTGATGGTGAAGAACTTCCTTCTGTCATGTTGTTTTCTATACATTTGGTAACTTTCTCATCCTTCATTTTCTCTATTACTACTGTCTTGTTTTTAGTTGATTTTTATACTGACAATTTTTCATTCCCTGCACAATTCCTTTTATTTTCTAATTACAATGAGCATTACATGTGTACCCTAAAGTTATAAGGATCTAATTTGAGTTGATACTTAACTTCAGTAGCACAGAAAAACTCTGTCCTCCACCTTTGCCATTAAATCCCCAAATGCACATTTGGATGCCCAATAATATATATTTTATGCCTTTGTCACTTAATATTTATAATAAAAAAATGGAGTTACAAACCAAAATTACAATAATTCTGATATTTATATTTTCCTTTGCATATACCTTAATTAAAGATTACCTTCATACAGGTTCAGGCATCCTTTCTTTATACCTACAGAACTCCCTTTAGCATTTCTATAGGGGAATGTCTACTAGTAACAAGCTCCCTAAGTTTGTTTGTCTTTTAATCTAGGAATATTTAAATTTCTCCCTCATTTTTTAGAGGACAGTTTTGTAATTCACAGTTGACAGATTTTTTTTTCTTCTTCTAACATTTAAAATATATAATGCTATTGCCTTCTAGGTGCCATGAATTCCAATGAGAAATCAGCTGAAAATCTTATTGAGGATCCCTTAGTGATTAGTTGATTTTATTCTTGTCACTTTCAGGATTCTTTCTTTGTGACTTTCAATAGTTTCAGTATAATGGGTCTTGGCATGGAGTCTATTTTGGGTTTATGCTATTGGAGGTCATGAAGCTCTTGGGATTTTTAGATTCATGTCTTTCATCAAATTTGGAAAGCTTTCAGTCCTTTCTTTAAACAATCTTTCTGCCCTCTTTCTGGGATTCCCATTATCTATATATTAGTGTACACTGATGGTGTCCCAAAGGTCCTTAGGTCTATGCACTTTTCATCATCCCTTTTCTTTCTATTCTTCAGATTGTTTGAATTTTCTCCAAGTTTTCTGGTCCTTTCTTCTGCTTGATCAAATATTCTGTTGAACATTTCTAATTAATTTTTCATCTCATTTGCTTTTCAGCTGCAGGATTTATTTGGTTCTTTTCTATAATTGTTTTTGTTGCTATTTTCATTTTATTGAAACATTATTGAGTTTGTTTAGTTCTCTGCCCATGCTTTCCTTAACTATTCAAGCATATGCAAGAAAACTTTTTGTCAAGTTAAGTTCAATGTCTGGGCTTCCTGAAGGATAGTTATTTTTTATTTTTGTACCTTTGAATGAGCCATACTTTCCTATTTTTGTGTGTGTGTGTGTGTGCATGCCTTATTTTTTGTTGAAAATTGGACATTTGACTATTACTATGGTAACTCTGGAAATTAGATTTTTCACCTTTTCCCGTGTTTGTCGGTTTGTTTTTTTTTAAGGTTGTGGTTTACTATGTTTACTTTCAAATAATAATTATTATTACTATTGAAGGCTGCAGTAGTCCATGTTTACTTTTCCAAAATATTTTTTGCAAATACTGTATTCCATGTTATATGTGGTCACACAAATCTCTGTTCCTTCAGTTTATGTGCATGTTTCAGA